GGCGGGGAGAGAACGGCCCACCTCGACCCACCCACCTACCACCCTACCGAAACAATCAACCTGGCTCGTTAACTCGCGAAAAATGTACTTTTGTTTGTTTACCGAGAAATTAGTTCATTCGAACTGGAGGGGGTTTAGACGGATCCGGTCCAATCGGTGACATTTGACGGCCAAAACACCAATCATCTTGTCGGGGTTTCTAATGGAGTGCGATTGGTTGGATTCACTTGAAGTTACAACGGATTCACTTGAAGTTGAAAAGGTATAGATTGCATTTCGGTGCATGCTCCGGTTCGTCTTTTGTAACCGTTGCCCTCTATGTTATTAAATTTCTCCTAATATGCTAAGATAACCGGTGACCAACAAGCTTGTTTGCGGCAATTCATATCCTGGCCGATACATCACAATTTATATCATAAGGTGAATTTCTTCATGCATCAAATTTGTTAGTGAGGACCAAAAATCGTTGTGGAATGAGAAGAGAGTTACATTTCAGCTCCACACGCTGATCATCATCACAAATGCGCATTGGTTCGGATTAGTAGAGGCGGTTTGGGGGTGGGGTATCCTTGTGCTGTGTGGTGCTAGTCGTTGAAGGAAGAGCGTGTCCACGAATTGTTTTTGTGAACAAAATAGAGGGTGGGGGATATGTAGGCAGGTTTCTATCGCTTCCGCTCTGGCGAAAACGCGCCTCCTTCCCCCCGGCCCAGCTAGAGCGATGACTAGAGGAGGCGAAAAGCTAACTAACCACGTGACTTGACTCCACTAGCTGTGAAACAATGGATCTGTTCGCAATTCCAGTTATTCCACTATTCTGTCAAACTAAACGTCCGCTCACGCGGTCCATTTACCTTGTCTCACAAGAACAGAAAAATGGTTACACACTGGTTTCTCTATCCCCGGTGTGTGTGTTTACTTTTCCTCAAACCTGTAACTCTTTCCGTCAAGCATGGTCTGAATGTATGTCTACGGGGAGTTGGCTATTTCAAATCGGAGGTGTTGCTTGATGGTATAGGGGGATTTGAGTTAATTGTATAAGGGGAGTTCGTCGTTTATCTAGCAAATGAAGCGTGGAATGTACAGCTGCTTCAACCTGGTTGGGTCTCATCCGAGTCTCCAAAAGCCTCAGTATGGTCGGGGGTGGGTGTCTAGAATTGCGACTGGTCACCCTGCCTTGCACCTCACGAGATGCTCCCATACGACCAAGCATCTGAATTAGCTTCTGCTGAGGAAGCCCTACTCACTGCCTTCTGGCGGCGGAGGTGTTTTCCCACCAACGTGAGAGGACGAAAAGCCGATATCCGGGTTGGTGGACCACTGGTAGTTCACCTAGGGGAGTTGGCCAAAAACCCTGATTCCAAAACAACCATGAGGAGAGCGTACAACTCACACCTTTTCGGTTGTGACAGCGGTCACCGGCTCGATTGGGCATTGAGGTGTATTGGGCAACTTGGACGTCTAACCCCGTCCAAATGGCGTAGGAGCCAATGAACTGGACACCGGCTCCCAATGGATTGCGGTTTTTACACCGCCCCGCTGCCTTGCGGGTCAGGCTTTGGCTAGCCGAAGGCTTCGGTTGTGGATTCCTCAACAAAATTCACCCGCCTCGGTCTGGGCAACATGGCAGTACTCAGCCCACAAGCCAATCATGGAACAAAAAAGGGGAATGAATAATACGTGTATATTATTTCCCAGTGAGTTTCTCTCAGTTTCTAGGCTTGCGAACCCGGGACTGAGGGTTCGCATTTACCAGACTGACCGTGGGACAACTTTGCCGCCATCTTTGCTAGTTTGTAACCCCGAGTGCGCAATCGATTGCCCTCTCTTCTATTAGCTATGCGATAGTCCTAAACAGTTCGATTCACCTGTTATGGACAAATTGGCAAATAGCGAGAATCAGGTAACAAATCCCGATCAGCACAAGCCTATTTTCGGTTCTGTTTATTCCCGTGTCTTCTCGCTGTTTACAACTGGACGAGGACGACGATGCATAGAACCCGGTTTTTTAATGCAACTTCAGTGATTTCAGAACAATTGTCTCATAAACAAATTACGAGTTGGAATAAATCAAAAGTGCTTTCAACCGTTGCTTCGTGGCATAGACGTAACGCAGATTCGAAGAAGAGTATGCCAGTCGGTGTGTGAGAGAGAGAGAGAGAGAGAGAGATAGGTGAAAGGGGGGGAGTAAAATTGTGACCAAGCACGGTGGTTCCTATATATCTACTTCCCTCTCATTTCCCTTGTTTGTTCTGTTTTCCTGTTTGCATTCTTTATATTGTATACATAATTGTACAAACAACTTTCGCTAAAAAAAAAAAGTGATCGATCGAAACACTCCTCATAGGACATGAAAATGCGGGAAGTTAGGTTTGAATAACGGTGGCCGAACAAAACCTCCGGGGGTTAATGTATGCAGTCGTGATCAACATTCGCGAACTTATGCAGCTCAAAGATTCGACTCCGAATGATTAGATAAGCCTATCGGAATAGTGGTCGCTAAAACGGAATTTCCCCTAAAGTATCTTATCCGAATGCGGGTTGCTTATGTTCTTCTTGAACATACTATCAATTTCGTTTTTTACTGGATTAACAGTCATGAAGACGATTTAATGTCATGTTAAGATTTTTGGAAATCATCAAGAAGATATTGTCTCATTTTTGTTACCGCCACCTATTGATCTTTGCTTACCATATCGATCCACCTGTATAACGCAAGCACACTAGTCTCACATTGACTCTCTTGTTCAGAAAAAAAACCATTCTGTCTTTACAGAATACATCTCGCAACTTCCATATATCGTCTTCTCTCTCTCTCTCTCTGTTTATCCCACGCAAACTTTCGAATCTTAACTTGGTATCCCCTCTCTCTCTCATACAGGACAGCCAGGAAACACCTGATCCAGTTCTCGCACAAGCCGTGCAGGCCTACATGCAAATGATGTCGGAGAATCGTGCTAACTATGCGTCCGCTGAAAAACACAACCGTGTCTATTCCACATCCACACGATATTGTCGAATCCAATTGCCCAGTTCCTTATCGGGTTCAATATCCTCGGACGATCAAGATCCACGCTATCTGTGGGGCGATAGCTCAGACGACGAAGATGAGGCCGATGTAAGCAGCCTTGCTCGTGGGTCGTTGGGTGCATCTAGTCTGTCCGAACTGGACTCCCGATTGCAACCGGTCGACGCGTGCACTGAATCGATTGGACAGGAGACCGCGGAAAATGGTCGCATTGTTCGTTTACGGGATTTGGGAGCGCATCACCCGAGCCCCGGTGATGTGACGAACGGCACGACCGGTCTGGATCCGACCGAGTCAACTGACAACGGTCTAGGTGGCCAATCGATATTGCAATCGTCAGATTCGGCTGTGATGAGTAAGGCGAAATATCTATCTATCTATCTATCACTTTTCCTGTACCATTTCAATCGGATATCCGATGAATTCAGTGCTACTCGTTGTTTTTATGTGTAATACAAATCAAACTGTTCAGCGTAGAATTAGGATTTTTACAAGCCGATCGTTTTGGAGGACATCGGTCGTTGTTATGAGTTTATGACAAATGTAAAGCTCACAGGGTACTCATCAACATGAGAACGTAACTTTCCGGTCAACCTTGAACTGACTGGCTGGTCGGAACTGGTTGGCCCAAAGCTGTACGAGCAATTGCTGAGATGGTCAGCTTGTCACTAAGCTCATTTCACAAATAGAAAGCTTCACATACGGGTTCCACACGCAATGAAGGAGATTTTATTGAACAGAAAGGCGTCATCACTTTCGGTTTCAATTTTAAACTCTATGAACATGACCATATTTTGCAAAGATTTATAACTTATTGAAAAAGTGAATTAGCAACAATGCATTGTTCAATACGACCGTGATCACATCTAATTTTGCTCCACAAATAAACAGCAACACTTTTAGAGTGAGGTTGGATGTTTCGGTAGGGTGCGGTTTGAATGTTTAACCCCCGGGAACTCTATTCTCTTGACTGTTGATCGAGTGATCGAGCTTAGATGAGGACTTATGTCGGTCGTTTGGATTAGAAATCGAATCGCATCCAGATGGATGGTCAAGCCTATCAGCATGCTGTGCGCGGGTTCAATCTAAATCCTCTTCAATGACCTAGTGAACGAAATTCCATTGAGCCAACTGTCCACGTGGCCAAATGAACCTCAACGTGTGTTGGTGTTTTGGTGAAGAGCAGATATGACAAGACAGTGAAACAAATAAACGAATAAAGACACGACGAGGCTCAGTAATGAGGGAATAACCTATGCATGGGTGCCAGATCGGTATTGTGTATCTTGCAAACGAAACGCAGGCAGAATTCGGGGCTCACATTAAAAACAATCTGGTTTTTGTTATCCAGCAAAATCAGACAAGATCAAGCTTTTGCTTTTCATGTGAAATTTTTCTTATTTCTTCCTCTGTAATCAAGTTCAACCGTGTTTTTCAATACCAGAAATATGGTGACGATTGCATCTGGTTTAGAAAAAAGCAATGAAGCTCGAGGAATCCTTTTCATCAACTCACTAGGTAATCGAGGTCCTGGGCTGAAACGGATCATGTCAACATTTGTGCTTGAGCACGGTGATCGGTTTATCGATCTTACTTGACTTTTTGCTAGTGAATTTCGTCGTGAGGCAGAACGAATGACGCATAACCTGAAAAGCTAGGAGGCACAGGGACAACAATTTCAATCTAGTTGGGTCTAATCCGTAGTGCGAATCCATCGATTCAACTGGGGATCGAACTCGGGACCTCACAGGTAGACCGCAAGCATACTGCCCACTGGACCACCGTTTTTGATTTTGTCAAGGGCATAACGTTTCGTGGGAAATTCACAACTGGCGCCTCCGGCTAACCAAAGGTGGATCCCTCAGGCAGCAAGGCTTGTGTCCAGTTCATTTCATCATACGCCCTTTGGACTTTGGTCAAACGTCCAAGGTGTCCAAGTGAGCCGGTGATCACTGCCACAACCAGGAAAGTGTGTGCGTGTGTGTGCTTCTTACGCCTTCTCTTGGTTGGTTTGGAATCAGGGTTTTTAGCCAGCTCCCCACGGTGATCTGACAGTGTGATGTCGTATTTCGCGAGGTGTAAGGGGTGAGTGACCGACCACAACTCAAGACACCCATCCCCTGAGATTTTTGGAGGCAAGCAAACACAATTAGATTAAGTCATGGATCATCCTCCCCAGCGCCTCCAAAAGCCTCATTATGATTGGGGGTGGGTGTCTAGGATTGCGACTGGCCGCCCTTCCCTTGCACCTCTCGAGATGCTCCCATACGACCAAGCGTCTCAAATAACCTCTGCTGAGGAAGCCCTACTCACTGACATCCCGCCGCGGCGCAGCTGTTTTCCCACCAACGTGAGAGGACGAAAAGACGACATCCGGGCCTATAACCGGATTTGTGGACCACTTGTATTTCACCTAGAGGAGTTGGCCAGAAACCGTGATTCCAAACCAACCAAGAGGAGGCGTAAGAACCACACCCACACCTTTTCGGTTGTGGCAGTGGTCATCGGCTCCATTGGGTATTGAGGTGTATTGGGCAGAACAACTGCGTCCTCCTTTCTCTGATACATTTTGTGAACCACAGAAGCAGTCTGTCGAAATTTCGTGTCGCACATTTCAGCGCTGCTTTGTTTATCATTTGAAGTATCGTTCTCCATTCTGTCTCAATCTTAGGCAGTTGACCTGACAGTACGTTTTGATTGTTCGATCAGTCATAGTGATTTCGGACACTCTAGCACCATACATCCCCGTTGTTTGATCCAGATCGGTCTTAATGTTTGTCAGATGCCTAGAAGCGTGTCAGGACCTATTTGTTCCGCTTATATTCGGTTCTCCGTCTTCCGTGGATGCACGAGCGCCACTGTTTGCGACACCCAGCCATATCACACAGTGTCTCTAAACATCGGTGACCATGAGCTCGGGGTCCCCAGCCAGGGAGCTTAACGGGGCCTATGTTACCTAGTCTTCTGGTTAGGGTTGTCGTACCCTTATACCACCCTGGACCTTTTTCCAACCGCTACCTGCCTCGGTGAACATCGCTCGCCGTGGCACCTTATTTGGTGACATGCGTAACACATGCCCCAACCAACGTAATCTATGCAGGTCGATCACTTGCTTCAGTGAACGACCGCAATTGCCCAAAACTTTGCTCGTCCGGTTACCCCGTCAGACTTGTGCAGTGCGACGGAGACAGCGGTGTTCAAACACCCAGTCGCAGCCTGACTGGGGAAGTAGTGAAGGAGGTGGACAAGTTTTGCTATCTGAACAGCTATATCTCGCCTGACGGATGCATCACAAATAAAGTATCGGCGCATATGCAAAAGGCTCGGTTGGCATTTGCCAACTTTAGACATTTGTGGCGCCGTCGCAATATTTGGCTGGCTGTGAAGGGTCGAGTATATGCTACTACACTTTGACCAGTCCTGCTCTATGGCGCAGAGACTTGGCCACTACGGGAACAGGATTAAAGTAGATTCATTCCCTAACAGTTTTGCTTCATTTTAGTCCTATCAGTTACCTCTTTCTCATGTACGTACATACTCTCCGTCATTTCTTCCCATAAGCGCCGTTCCCGACTGCATCCGGTAAAATCTGTGATGCCAATACGGACATGTGGAATCCTCCACATCATTGGAGCCAAACACCGTCCACCACTGCACCGCCCGAGAGTCTCGTGACGGTCCCACTTATCTGACCCGGTCGAACACGTCCGGTAT